CTTTGCTGCTTCGATGTATGGTGTTTTTATAGGTATTAATGAAAATATTTCATTTAGAGATATTTATGGCTCTAATTCTTTCTCTTTGCTTAGAATTTTCAAAATATCTGGGCGTCTTTTGAGATAGAAGTGGAGTACAGGAAAGTGAGACAAGGTGCAGACAGAGTTCAGAACAGTGAGACCCAGTTAATATTCGTATTCAGAGCCCCAGACACTTGTGCATGTGCTGAGGAATTGGACTGTGTTCTGCCCATCTCACGTGCCTGGTGACTATTTCAATATTATTCAGTGTAAAGAATCTCTACCTTCAATGTAGAAACTGATTGCTATCAAGTATTCATCTGAGAAATTCAGATGGAAGACTCTCAACTGCAACATCATTTAGGACAGTCCGTGGGAAATGTCTCCGTGAGGAAGATCGTCTGCCATGTAACACACCTGCACATTGTACTGGTGAACAACTTTTGCTTCAGAACCAAAGGTAAATCTTACCTGGTAATATGTTGTGCAAGAAATGGCTACCAGGTGTTTCTTTGATATCTACATAATTGTGACATGTTTTAAGGGAAATCTTTCTTTTAAATATTCCACTTATAAATTGGATGCATTAAATGATTTTCTTACGCTGAGCAAGAATTTACTACTCTAGTCTTAAAACAAGTTCCTGTTGGCATTTAAAAAAATACTAATTCATCTATAAAAATCATTTTGCTTGCCCTGTGTGCTGGATAGATTTAGTGTCAACTTGACACACCTGGGTTGAGGGAGCCTCAATTGGGGAATTTCCTCTATTGGACTGGCTTGTGGCCATGTCTGAGGAGCATCTTGATGAGTGATGTGGGAGGGCCCAGCCCACTGTGGGTGGTGCCACCCCTGGGCAGGTGGGCCTCTATTGTGTAAGACAGCAGGCTGAGCAGGGGCCAGGGGAGCAAGCCAGTAAGCAGCGTTCCTCCATGGCCTGTGCTCCAGCTCCTGCTTCCAGGTTCCTGCCCTGAGTTCCTACCCTGGGCTCCCTGATGAGCTATGACCTGGAAGATGTAAGCTGAATAAACCCTTTCCTCCCCACGTTGGTATTGGTCAGAGTGTTTTGTCACAGAGTGAAGAAACAAACTAGGACACCCTGTTTACTCTGTCTGTAAGAATCATCCTAAACAAGATTGCTTCTGCTTTGGAAGGAATTTGCAAACCTAGAATATGATTTTTTTTTTCTGAATTTGGGGTAGAGAGGTAAAAATTGAGTAGTAGCAGAGAAATGTGTTTTGTCCAAGACTAGGTCCATATTGTTTTTGTTTGTTTGTTTGTTTGTTTGTTTGTTGAGACAGAGTTCCCCTATAGCCCCAGCTGGCTTGGAACTCACTATGTAGATCAAGTTGGACTTGATCTCACTATGTGGACTAGGCTGGCCTTGATCTCATAGAGATCCACCTGCCTCTGCCTCTTGAGTGTTGGGATTAAAAGTGTGTGCCACCACGTCCAGCCTGTCTTCATAGTCTTACTATGCTTCAGAACAGAGCAGTCCAGAGCTTGCCCCCCTATCAATTTTCTACCTCGAACATCTATTTCTCTACTACTCTCATGAAAATGTTAGAGACATGGAGAATAAAAGTTATGATTGCATAATTCAACTTAATGTCCATTTGGGGGATACATTCGCTTACCTTTAAAATGAGATTAAGGGGCTAGAGATATGGCTTAGAAGTTAATAGTACTTGCTACTCTCTCAGAGGACCCAGGCTCATTTTCCAGCACCCACATGGCAGCAAACAACTACCCATAACTCTACTTCCAGGGGATCTGATGCCTTCTTCTGACCTCCATGGGCACACACACAGAGCACATACATACATACCTACATACATACATACATACATACATACATACAGCAAACATTTATACACACAAAATAAATAAATCTTTAAAAATAATAATAAGATAAAGTTTTTTTCACTTCTCTATGTTCTTAAAAAGCATCTCCAGGGCAATGAGATGGTTTAGTGATAAAGTGCTTGCTGTACAAGCCTGACAACCTGAGTTCAATTCCTGGAAGTCACATGAAGGCAGAAGGGAACTGATTCCACAAAGTTGTCCTCCGCCCCCAACAGGTGTACTGTGGCATGTGCACATCTACTTCTACACAATATACACACAAAATAATAACAAATAAAGATTTTTAAAAATCATCTCCGGGGGATAGAGAGGTGGTTCAGTGGTTAAGAACATTGGCTGCACTTGTAGAAGACCTGGGTTCAGTCCCCAGGATCCACATGGCAGCTAACAGCAATCATTAACTTCAGTTCTAGGGGATCTGACACCCTCTTTTGGCTTCCTTGGGTACTGCAGGATGTGGGTGCACATTCAGACAAAAGATTCATACACATAAATTAAAATGCATTAATAACTTAAAAATCATCCCCAAGGACTGAGGAAAAAATGTGCAAGTATACAAACTTTATTGCAAAGACATTTGAAGTAAGACATATAGATACAGAGAAAGCAGACAGAGAAACAGGAAATTACTTATAGGTCTGGAAAGGTCAATCTAATGAATTACACAGGGTAGAGTTGAAAAGAAAGCCAGTTCTATCCCAGAAAGCTCAGAGCATATACGGTACTTTAGAAGACTGCGAAGACAGGACCTGAAAACAAGGGGATCCTTTAGTCTGAACAAGAAACAATTAGACCCTCCAAGATCATGTCGCTTCACAGCAGAGTCCAGTGATCCTCTGCCCTGCCCTGAGGTGACTAGAGGTATAATCCCTGGGAAAAAACAAGACAACACCAAGCTTAGATCAGCCAGCATGGAGAAGGTAAGGGGTATGATGACAACTGAAGTTGGAACGGGAAGAATAAACGAGGAAAAGCACCGATATAAAGTCCCTCCCCAGGGCTCCTTCCCAAACAGCTCCAGAGTGCTGTTTTCCCTGCTCATAACTGCAGGTAAGATACAGAAGATCTCTTCTTTGGAGAAAATACCCCAGAAGTAAAGCCTAACCCAAATACATGGAACCTTCAGTGAACTTTAACTATGTCTGAAACAAGGCCCAGAGCTAGAGAAACAAAAAAGAATGTGAAGAAAATGAGGAAAAGGAAAAGGGAAACTTAAACAACCATAATTAATATTAATACAGAGAAAAATCAAACCCAGCAACATGTGTCAGAAAAGAGTAATCAGAGAAGGAAAGAGAGCTTACAACTTACATATATAATTAGCCAAAATTAACAGGTCAACAGAAAAATCAAAAGTATGACCCAAAAGAAATGTAAAACCTGAGTATGAAAAGACATGAAAACTAGAAAATAGCTTCTGGAAATCACACACTAAAGGAAATTTCAGGACAAGACGACAGGTTATAACACAGAGAGGGAACTGTTTTTTTAAACACACACACAAAATCAAAGATTGAACGTTATTCTTTAGTAGAGTGAAAGTACCTGTTTACCGCCTGAACAACAGACAAAATAAGAGCTGTTCCAGGGCATAGTATCATAAAATTTAAGACTATCAACAGAAAATACAAAGAATTTCCAGGAAGGTTATCTAAAAAAATCAAGTCAAAGAAGTCATGGCCCTTCCCTCTCTTTCTCTGTCTCTTTCTCTCACACACACTCTTTTTTCTTTTAAATTAGGTTTATTAGGTTTTTGTTTAGTATAATGTCTAGTCATGAATGTCAATTTGGCAGACACCTAGGAGGATGTGTAAAAGCATTTCCAGAGAAGATGAACTAACTGATTTGGGTGGGAGGAAGACCCAGATATAAGCAGGTCTGAAGGATAAGCTGTGTGTTCACCTGCCTGTCTTTCACTGCTGCTACCCACCCCCACCAATATCAGACTTCAGCTTTTTTGACCTTTCAACATGGAATAAATACCAGGGACTCTCCAGGGAGCCTCCTGGCCTGGCCTTCAGCACTGGAATAGGACCACTGAGGTATACAGCTTCCTAGACTGAACAGATACCTGACTCTCTGCCACTCTAGCATATTATTGGACTCCCCAGGCCTTACCATGTAAGCTAATCTAATGTGTTCCCTTGTATAATAAAAATACGTCCTATTGGTTATATTATGCTTGAGAACCTTGCCTAACACAGAAAGTTTATAAATCTGACCATGAAGTTTATAGGTCTTTGGAACTGGTGTGTAGGAGGAATGTGGAAGAATTTGGAGCTGCGGGCAGAGAAGTCCTAGAATGGAAGCAGAATTTAATGGGACAGTGTAATGGGCATTTAGAAAATCTGAATGCTAATAGAAACGTGGACACTACAGGCAAGACTCATGTGGTTTCAGAGGGAATAAGGGCTCTACTGGGAAATGGCCTACAGGCCATTCATGTTACAATATAGCAAAGCATTTGGCCACATTTTGTCCCTGTCCTGAAAATTTGAGTGAGACTGAATTCAAACATAAGACTTGTGATTTTAATCATCATCATCAACTCGACCATATTTGGAACTACCTAGAAGGCACACTTCTGCACCTATCTGTAAAGATGTTTCCAGAGAGGAGGGAAGACTCACCTTGAGTGTGGCTAGTAGCACCTCATGGGCTAGAGTCCTAGATTGAATAAAAAAAGAGAAAAGGAGGAAGGCAGGTGAGCATTCATCTCTTTGCTTCCTGACTGTAGATGCTATGTGACCACTTGCCTCATGGTCCTGCTGCCACATAGGGCCACACGCTTCGCGCCTTTCCTTTCCTTATGGGCCTTCTTCCCTAAACCCTTCTTCCCTTAAGTTGCTTCAGGTATTTGGTCACAGGAGTGAGCTAATAACTAATATGGTTAGCATGTGAAGAAATGGGTTTCATTATGACATTTTCATATATATATGAAATTCATATATATGTATCATTATCATTTTTCTCAACCTTATGCCCCACTAACGTTACCTTCTTCCTTCCCCTCTTGTTGATGTCTTTCTTGCCTCCTATTAATCCCCCCTCCTGTTTTTATGTCACATATACTACCCACCCTATTATGTCATGTTTCTACTTTTGTGTCCTACATAGATCGGGAAAGCCTCATGAATTTGCTTATCAGTCTTGTACAGGAGCCATGCTAATTTCTGTAACATTTCAACTTCAGTATATGATCTGTTGAGATGAGCACACCATGGACCTTTTCAACAGAAACCGAATGAGTACAATTTCCAAAATAGGATTCCACACCTAGCCAAACTATCAACCGAGAGTATATGCATGCTGACATAAACATCTGTAAAGTATCAAAATTTCATCAACTCTTTCTCAGATGAATATATCCTACAAAAAGTGAAAAGATAAAAGATTTAGGAAACATGGGATCTGACAGAGGACATAAAAAGGACCAGAGAAGACTCCATCTGGGGTGAGCTGGAAAGCAGGGCTATCATGTGCTATATCTTAGAGCAAAGACATGAACTGAGACGTTTTTAATATACAGAAATTTGGATTGAGATACTTCTTATTAAGCAGCTAGTGTATGTTGGAAAACAGGCACAAGACGAAAGGAAAGTTTTAATAAATTTTGTTTTTTATTGAATTTTTGTGATTTTCATATAATATAGACGGTTTTTAGATCCCCTCCCCTATCAACACCTCCCCACACTGCCCCCCCCCAGTTAATGTACTCTCTTATATATAAAAACATGGCCTATAGAGTCTGATTTGTGTCCCCACATGTCGTTCACTGTGTAAGTCCATTCACTGAGCCCACCAAAAGTCCCATCCCTGAGAGACACTGTCTCTCCCCCTCCCAGTGGCCATCAATTGCCAAAAGTTCCTTAGGTTGGGTTGGGATTTCTTACCTATTTCTCCATGTCTATGTTGTCTGGTTTGAGCTTGCATGGGATTTGTGCATGCTGTTGCCATCGTTGTGAATTCATAAGAGTAACTGACCAGCTGTCTGGAGGACAGCTTTGTGGTCATCTACACCTCTGGCTCTTACAGTCTTTCTACCTCCTCTTCCACAATGATCCCTGAGCCTTGGGAGGCAGAGGTTTGAAATAGGTTTCCTGTTCAGGGATATGTACTTTGCAACCTCTTGTCCTCTGCACATTGGCCAAGTGTGGGTTTGGGTGTTAATCACCATCTGCTGCATAAGGAAACTTCTCTGGTGTGAGGTGAGAGATGCATTCATCCTATGTGTAGAGGCTGCATTAAAGATGTGTCATTTAGGGTTAATGTCTCACAGGTAACTATTCTCTGCTTAGTAATAAAACTGTGGAATAGTCTCCACATGTTGCAAAACAAAGAAGCTTCTTTGATGAGAGGCGAAAGTACACTTGAGTGTAAATATGAAAATGTATATAAAGTAAGAAATTAAGTTAGTTTAGGGATGTTGCAAAAGTAGGTTTTTCTCTAGGATCTGTGACCTCTCCAGCAATGTATATTTAGCTATGTTTACAGTACCATTCATGAGTTCCTTCCCACTGAGAGGGCCTTAATTCCTGAATGGCTATTGATTATCCCCAACATAAAAGTGTCACTATTGAACCAATAGTGATAGCCTGCTGAGCCAGTCATTGTTGCTTATTAGGCTTTACAGCTGGGTAGGAAAATTGATTGGACTTCTCTCTTGGATAAAAATAAATTTAAAAAACAACACAGTAATTCCTAGGAAAGACAGAAGTCATTCAAGAAAGGAAATGTGTACACCATTTGCAATAATACATTATCACACTGTAATACCATGACTAGCACAGGGTGGAATATATTTATAGTTATAGTAATAAAAATACCAAATAAGTGTTTTCCTAAAAATTGGGATGCATACACAAAAAGGAGTGGATATTGGGATAGTGACAAGTGTCAATATCCTCGCTATAGTCTCTGCAAAAATGTGATAAAACAGATATCACCTTAGATATAAAATAAATAGGAACTAATAATCTAGAAATTTTAAAGTTGTTGTCTTTTCTTAGGATGGAGAAGGAAGAGGGAGGAGATGATTGCTGTTTCTTGTTTAACATTATTTAACAAATATATTTAATGTCAAATATTATTACACTATGGGGCTGGAGAGATGGCTTGGTGGTTACGAGCATTCACTGGCTGCTCTTGTAGAGGACCTGGGTTAGATTCCCAGCACCCATAGCAGCTAACAATCATCTGAAGCTCCAGTCCCAGGAGAATCTGATGACCTCTTCTGACCACCGCAGGCACTGCACTGCACAACATGGGTGCACTTACATACATGCTGGCAATACACTCATATATATAAAATAAAAATTTAAAAGTTAGTATTATACTAAATAACACCAGTATGTTATAGGAAACAAATTTGAAGTTGTAAATATATTTTCAACTTTTAAATATTAGATTTCTAGGAATATAAAAGCAATGCAAGTTTATTGAAAATTTGGAAAACGTATAACAATTCAAAAAAACCCTTAAAATTATCTTTCTGGTGTCATGCATTTCTAGTCATACTTTATTTCTATGTATGTTCTTTTATAGAACAGAAACTGCTTTGTGAATATAATTCATATCCTTCTTTTTATTTCAACATTTATAATCAGAGGTTTTTATTTCTTTAAACATTTCTCATAAGCATGTTATTGCCTGCATAATTTAACTATAGTCATAATTCAGGACATTTACCTTTTAAATTTTTTCAAGTAATAAATAATGCTATTTTAAATGTATTCATCCATTGATCTTTCTCAGTATTTTATTATCTTTGCCTAGCAAAATTCCTAGAAATAAAATTACTAGACCAAATGGTAAAAACATTCTTGAGATAGTTGGTACATGTTATGAATTTGCTCTACAGATTCCTTCTGACTCATATACCCATCAGCAATTTATACAGCTATTTATTTCAATGCCACCCTTCCAGCACTGTTTCTCATTAGAAAAAAAAATCATTTTAAGCTAAACTTAAGCAAAATGGTACAATTTTGCCCAAGATCTTGGAGCTCTTTTGAAAATTTTCAAAATTGGTAACAGAAAGATGTATCCCTAAGGAAAGTTTCCACACAAAGCCCCCCTCCCCATACTCAGTGTCCCCACAATGGCCCTTGTGGTTATCTGTGTGCTGACTGACAGTTGGGAATTCAAACAGAGAGAACAGGAAAAAGAACTGCGCAGATCTGAATCATGCTGTTCCAGGATTGGCTAAGTGTTAGAAATTTCTGTATTATAACAACATTTTGAATTATGGAATTAGTTGACAAGCTGATTTGTAAAGTTTTAGAGTCATTATGTAAAACGAAGGAGCACACTAGCCAAGATTGTCTGTGATATTTTGCCCATAACTGTCCACTTCGGCTAAGCAGCCTTGCTAATGCTGTTGGACCACTGCTTCTGTAGAAAGAGGCGCCCACAACAGAGAACAGTGATGAACATTTACTGAAATCCTCTTAGACATCAGACATGTTGCTTGTGATATGTAATTTAATCCTCAGAGAAATCCTACTAAGTATCATGCCTATTTTATAGATGGGGAAACTGAGGATGTAAGGTGCTAAGTGCTCCAGGTCACAGAGTCTGTATACCTTGAAAGCTGGTGTGCTTCACAAGGAAACTGCAGGCTCAGTCTCCTAAGTCCTTACCCCACTAATAGCCAAACATCAGACAGGATGCTGAAAAGATTTTGTGCTCCTGAGCCACATAATGAAAGGGTTCAAATACATCTATAGCCTCTGAGTTTCAGGACAATCTACAAGTTAGATAGAGGCTGTCCTTTGAAGTCTCCCTGGGGTGCTAAGAGAACACAGTCAAGAGCAGGCGTCCACAGGGCTCCAAGGATAGTGGGGGCAGAGGCAGAGACAGCTGAGGGATGGCAAAGGAGGATTTGTTCTGGGCTATAGGGGAAGCTGCAGACAAGAAAATTTCAGTTCACATGTTTTAACTGGTTTCTAATTATATTTTAAACTTTAAAGAACTATTCAGTTTGAAGTTATTATTATCAACAAGAACTTCTTGACAATGACTAGCCTCTCTCCTGAGGAAATGAATAAAAATTAATTTATGATAATTCTTTTGAGAAAGATTGTCTTGAAGGCAGTGCTAGTCTTAGAAAGTGACCCATGTCATTTAATCCTGTCACTGCCCAGCCTCCAACAATGGGCATCAAGATACACCCAATAACTATTTCCCCAACATCTTTCCAACAGTCATCCCAACCAGGTGGGCATAAACCTTGGTAGATGGACCACAGAAGAGATAGGGCTCCATACTCACATACCCCAGATACTTCTTAGGATTTACATTTTTCTTCTTTGCATTATAAATTATTATATACATTTAGGAAAAAATATATCAAATCTCCTTATACCCACTACCATGTTTTTTCAATCTTATTTTGTCATATGTAATTTCAAATGGCACATTAAGACACACTGAAAACCTTCTGTGAACCTCTTCTTGTTCTAACTCCTTCCCCAGAGTTAAACAACATGGCATATCTGACTGTGTTCCCATCTTTCATTTCATATTCATAGACACAAACATATCTAGTTTCCTCACGCTCCATAACAAACTAACACAAATTTAGCATCTTAAAACAATGGAATTTTTCTTCTCTCAAAGACACAGTTCTGGAGACTAGAAATGAGCATGTAGACATGCACGGGGCCAGGGTCCCTCCAAAGGCTCTAATCCCAATGTGGTCATATTCCAGTCCTGAAAAGTCAGATCTCAACAAACCTTTCTGGAAGGTACAACCCAATCCATAGCTATATGTATAAATAATACCTAGACACAATTGGATGTTTTAGATATTTGCATTATGTTTAATTATGTCTATGGGAGTATGGGAATGTGTGTGTGAGAGCAGGTGTCCACAGAGACCAAAGACATCAGATCCCCCTGGAGCTGGAGCTACAGTCGGTTGTGAGCCACCTAACGAACACTGGGGTCAGAACTTGGATCCTCAGCAAGAACATTGCACACTCATAATGGCTGAGCCATCTCTGCAGCCAAATTGAATGTTTTAAAACTTATACAGATGATACTCGTTTATGCTGCTTTAACAAAATGCTACAGAGTAACTGACAACGGAAATTTATTTCTCACAGCTCTGGAGACCAGGAAGTCCAAGATGAAGTTGCCAGCAGGTTTGATGTCTGGTGAAGACATTTTCATAGATGGCCCATCTAAGTGTCATCATGTAGTAGGAGGGATA